TTTATTTACATTTTGAAAACATTTTCTGAAAAAATACATTTTTTGTAAATAATTAATATTTTTATTTTTGTTTATATTTAGCATACTTAATATATATAATATATAAATACTTATATATTTTATTTTATTAGATAATTAGGACAAAAAATATAGAAATAATACATTTATTTTTTATTTAATATTTGACATCAAAAATACTTTTTTACAATATACTTTTTATTTTTTGTATATAATTAGCAAATATTGTACATAATTAATAAATATTACTATTTATTCAAAAATTAGAGTTTTGCCCTAAACCATAAAAATAATCAAAAAAATGACTTTTTTCTTATTTTGTTTATATTTTAAACATGAAAACCTTTTTACATACATAACAAAACTCATTTTTGTGCATAATACATTCTTATTTATTTATTATATTCACTTAAATATTGTACAATTAAATATTTGTATATTCGACATGGTTGTAATAATTTAGATTTTATTTCTTTGTCAAATATCCCCCAAATTCAAACTTGTATCCCCCTCCCTATATCTTGTTGTAATAGCTCAGCATTTAAATTTTCGCATTTAAAAGCTTTCAATTATGCCATGATAGACTTAGGGTTTGTATGCAAAAACAATCAACAAATAGCTTGACCTAATTCAAGATAAACATGCATGAAAAAACAAACACAACGCACACTCACACCCCTAGGGTTACTCCACTTGTTGCCTTCAAAAATGGGTCATGGTTGCATGTTAAGTGTCTTTGGCAAAACAAAAACAAATTAAATGATCATAGTCCCTCGATGACGCTATCAAGTTGCCTAAAATGATCAAGTCCCTTGAGATAATTGCCAAAGATACTTGGCACTATTGCCTCTATGGTCTAAACGATGACCCGCGCCCGTCCCGTTAACATCCTAACACAAGGTTGTTCATCAAATACAATGGTGAAACAACACTGTTAAAAGGGTTAAAACATGAGAAAGATCTTTGAGAAATTTAGGGTAGATAGCTCTTGGTTACTTGACCAAACTTGCAAAACAATCCTTGCCATTTTTCAAAACACACATCACAACACAATTTCCAAACACCTTTCAAAACATTGAAAAACTTTTCAAAAGACAATACACCTTTGTATACATTCAAACATGGATCATTACAAAGGTTGCCACAACAAGGCATCTTTTTCAAAACATTTTCAAAACCACACACACAAAGCACCATTTCAAACAATTGAAAAGCAAAGGCAAGTGATCTAAGCAAGTAACTAAGAGCCCATGGATAACCATGGATAGAAAGGGTGCTAATACCTTCCCTTTCTATAATCTACTCCCCGAATCCAAGAAAACATCTCAAAGGTTTTTCCTGTGCTTTTTAACCTTTCCTTAGGATAAAATAAAAAGTCGGTGGCGACTCTTGCTAAACTGAAACATTTGCGAAAACAAACGCAAAACCTCAAGTCAGTTCTCCCACCGTATCACAATCATGAAGGATTTGATTGATGTAATGATCTCATCTCATTGACTTAGGTCTTGATCCACCTTTGTTTTACTTATGCTATATGTTTTAGGAGTACGGTCTCTACCATATCTCTAACATGTATGATACATAAATTGTTATTGATCGATCTCGTATAGTATTGAATTCTACATAAGTTCGTCTACGATTGCTTAACATAGCGCTAAATTTGTCCCAAGTTAGAAAACTAACATACTAACTCTAACATTAATTGTACTAACTTTTATTTTAATGCAATTTAAATTTTTCATTTTCTTTATGCCTTTACCTTCCTGCTCTTTATTTTAACATCTTTATCATTCTTGTAATTTATCTTTTGTGCTATTTACTTTATGTCATTTTCCTTTTTCTCACTTGAGCCTTTTATTTTTTTATGTCATTCTTCTTTTGCTCACTTGAGTTTTCTTTTTCTTTTAAAGACATTAATAATCAAATTGAACATTAAAAGACTTAAGACTCTCTTTGGACTATGATTACTATTCCCTTCCATCTTGAAGTACTTGGACTTTTTGGACCTTAGGATAGGACCTTGAGACTTTGAGACCTTTGGACCTTGAGATCTTGTTGTTATTTCATCTGTGTATTGGAAACTTTTCTGTGTGCAAGCGTTACTTTAAAATTTCATCTCATACAATAATAATTCATCTGAGACATCAAGTTCATATGATACATGCCAAGTCATCTGTACCTTTTTGGGTTCATCTGATACAAAGCTTGCACCTGAGGCATTTTTGTCCATTTGATGCTTATTACTTCTCTGTGTGGATTTAATCTAAAGAAATGAGATACATTGTTTGACTTGTGTTAATATGATTGCTCTTTTTTAGTTAGACATTTCCTACTTTAACTTTTACTTTATGCTTTAGGATAGTTCCTTCATCTCTTGCCCATCTTCTTTAATTTTCAAATCTTCTCCCTCCTTTTCAAAACCTTCTTTGGTTGCAAACTTGAACTACTTTCAATAAAAACCTTGACTTTGTCAAGTGAATTTTCAAAACCTTTTTCTTAGTCAAACTTTAATTTACTTAACCAAAGTATAACTTCTTTCTTCAAAGACTAAAAAACACAAAAACCAATTCAAACTTTTTGCCATTTGGATTTTTATTTTAAAACCTTTCCTTAAGATTAGACACTAGTCATCTTCAAGTTGAGTTGTAATATCCTATCTCCATGATATTGGTTGATTTTTGTGTTGAATCTTTTTCCACTTAAAAGGGTTAGTGGCATACCTATTGAGTTATCTAGGTTGGAGTCCTCCTTTCACTTATGATGCAAAGGTCCACCTTTCTCATGTTCATGGTGGATTAGTTGAGTATTCTCCTTAAGATGGCAAAAGGTCTCTTCTCTTAAAATTAACCAACAAACAATTTTATTCTTTTTTTATAAGAACTACCTGGTTCTTATTTCATCATTTCCCATTGGTGATACGTAGGCATGGAGCCCATTGAAGTCTTGCCCGATCAAAAACCTTTAAAAACTTTTCTTTTCTCATCTCCATAAATTTTTTGCAAACAAACATTTTTTAGCCAAAATACACATATTTTCAAAGAGGTTCCTGCGGAGTACCATAGATGTTTAGGGTGCTAACAATTTCTCTTTGCATAACCAACCCCCGTACCTAGATCTTAATTTTATTAGTTTTATTTTAAAATCTTTTGTGGGTTTTATTTGCTCTTTTTTCATTCCTTTGGAATTAATAAAGTTCGGTAGCGACTTTCACTTTGTGAGTTAAGTTAATCAATAGCATAATCTCAACTTTTCATCGCTACACAGGATGTCTGCTCTGATGCTAATTAAAATTTCGACACTTTCAATAGATGTTAAGACAGATGTCCCAATATAAAAACATAATATCAAGATAGATGTTAAAACATCATCTGCTGACAAAAAACCATTACCAAACAATAAATTATGAAGAAGTAAATTGAAGAAGGTAAAAGACACAATCAATTGTTAACCTAGTTCAGTGCAACGTCACCTACTATGGGGGCATCAAATCCAGGAAGAAAATCCATTATGATATAGTATTAGTTCAAAACTAAACAACCCTAGTTTACAACTTATCATCTAATCACTATCTTATGAAACTTCTACCTAAGAACCTCCTAGATATGAGAATCCCCTCTCACTTCCCACAATCACCTTAATGATTAAAACAAAAGACCAAAACAGAAGATCACACTTCCAATTACGTACAATTCATTCTATGCTTAAAAGTTCATGAGTGATTGACAATGAACAATGAATAATCAGTCAAATTTCATGTATCAAAATGATACATAAGTGACATACACAAAAACACAATACTCTGAAAAAGACTCTCAAACCCTAAGACTCTTGTAGAATAATTTCTCCTTAATTTTTTCACACCTTTCATTAGGTTTAGGCTTTTCCTTTTAAAGATCTCTGTTGTCCATGGGCTTTAAATTCTCTGCCCAATTTGTTGTAGATTCATAAGCTGATGGCTGCACCAATTATGCAGAAAAATCTCCTTGAATCTTGGAACAAAACATCACAAGTTTCCTAAATTGTCTCAACATCCAATTTTAGAAAATAATGTACAGTTGTAGATAAAATCAATTGTTTCAAATAAAATCTTCTTGACCTGCGCAAATAACTGAGATGTATACAAGAGAATCTCACAAAATCAAATAAAATATGTCAAGAAAGTAATAGTAGAATCTGCTATATCAGTTGACAAAGATGTTACAACATCTTGATCAACATTTGGAGTCAGCAGTACATGTTATGACAGTTGTTCAAGATGTCACAACATCTTGCACAACATATGGTTGTGATACATGTTTTCCCAAATGAAACATGTTTTACCAAAACTATTTTCAATTATAAAATCACAGACCTAACAATTGTCCAATTTTGGCCTAAAACACTTGTTTATATATTTTGTGTTTTTAGCCATTTTAAAACTGCTGGTGCTTTTAAAATTTGTTGCTCTATCCTTCTAAGCAAGTAATGGGCTGAAAATTGAGACTACATTGATCAACGTGACTATAAATTACTATTATTCATCAAAGCAATGAATATTAACTTTCGTCACCATCTTTTAGTGTGTGACTTTTCATCCCCAAGTCATTATTGATATAATAGCGAATTAAATTTGTAATATTTTATGAGTTACTTATGTAAATTCAACAAATTATCGTATTCATATAAATAGGGACATAATCGTAAGTAGAAAAGAAGATTTAATTTTGTTAAACAAACACATTATTTGATTTCCATAGCTTTTGTCTTTTGATCAGGACAAGACCAAGTTGTTGAACTTATTGAGAAATTAATTTTTTTGCAATAATCTTCACTTAAATTCTAGTTAAAACAAAAACATTGTTTAAAATTCAAACCAACTTATCAATCAAGTCAGTTTGCATGGTTAGTTGTATACTGAGAAATAGTGAATTGCATTTTCTAATGAACTACTACTTTGCTAGGAATAACTCATTCTTGAAAAGTTAAAAATTAAAAGCATGAAGTCATCTGAATCTAAAACATTGAAACCCCACACATCGAATTTTCGGCTTCTTTTGATTCAAATTCTCTGATTTTGGCATTTTGACAGGGCTCTCAACCAAATCCCATGCTAACCTGTTAGCATTCAAACATTATCAAACAGAAATAATAGTAAGAGTCTTGCATATTGGCGGTGTGATTTTAAAAACACGCCTCCGACTATATTAGGAATTACACTATACAATTTTAATAATGTTTCTTCAAGTATTTTTATCATAATTCAAATTGGAAAAGCCGCAATACAATCGTAGCAAAAATAATATGATAACTTACTTAGGAAATGCAAAAGAACCTCTACTGCCTTCAGATTGATTAGAGTTTCTTGAATCATTAGTCACCAACCGACTATCTTCAATCTCCTCTCTTTGACATGATCTTATGTTATTCTTTCTTTCTTGAGTTGGACTCAAATTATAGCTCTCTTTTGCTACACCCTATAATAAAACACAAAAATTAAATAAAAATACTAGTGTGTAAAACAAATGCTTCAAAGAAAGGAAAAATACTAGTTTGTACCTCTTTTAAAGTATCAATGCAAACATGATCATGTTGATGAGTGTCATGATGTTTTGCATTTGATGTATTCTTTTCTTTGTGTTGGTTCCTAACTTGTTCTGCACCCTCACCATAATCAAGCTGTTTATGTAGTTCATATTTAAATTATTTTATTAGTTTAAAATAAATGATGAATTGGATCAGATGGTGTAGTCACACAGATTCGATCGTCCAAGACTAGTTGATCTAGATTGGACGATCAGATATGTGTGATTGTCTATACATCTGAATTTGGTGGCGATTATGATTAATTGAATGTATAGCGTGTACCTTTCGAATTGCGGGCTTTGAATTTACATGATCTGCATCAACACTTGTAAAAGACTCAGACTTGGGACTATTGGATTCTATGGCAACATCAAATGATCCATCTTGTCTAAAGCTAAACACTATAAATTCTTGATCTAATTTCCTAATTGAATCGTCACTTTCATCAACTTCTTTTCCTTTGTTCATTAGATCTAACTTTTTGTTACACTTTTTGCTTGGAGGTGACAAATTCTTGATGACGCTGTCCTCTTTTTTCTTATCAAATTCCATTTCTTTTCTCAATTCAACTTTTGGTGATGATGTTAATTCATGATCACCTACATATATATATAATTGTAAGGACTTATAACGATTAAACAATAATTTTAAAAACCAAAATGTTGTTTAACACAAAAATAAAAATAAATAAATAAATAAATAAAGAAGAATAAGATTATACCTAAATGAAATCTGAAACATGAACATCTCCATCTTGTAATGAGGACATGGTGGTTTTATTTTATATTCTGTTTTTTATTTTATTTTTTTGGTTTTTTGGAAGAAATTATTGTGATAGAGAAGAGAATGTTGTTTTCGATTAGAGACAAGATAATGTATAAGAGGAAATTTAGGATTTGAATTTGAAAACTACATTTAAGGTAATCCAATTTATAGTGTTAAATTTTAATGTGTATTGGGTCAATTATGATTCTATTCAAAGAATGTAGAAATTAGTGGGAATTTTGTTCGGACTAATCAGTGGAGATTTGGAAAACAAAAAAAAAATTTAGTGGAGATTTAATATGACATAAGTCAATAATTATAATATAAAAGAGTTTTAATTACACATTCATTTAGTAATTTATACAGAAAATTTCAATTTGAAGTGGGAGGGTTTACAATGAATCTAGTCCAACTTTATTACCATATTATTGTACAATTTCTCCCAATATTTCGATGAATATATAGATAAATAAATAATTCATAAATAGAGATTTTTTTTAGGATAAAACTTGCAAAAAAAAATAAAACATAAAAACGATAAAGGATAAAAGTACTCAAATTATACTCCATTTGTCTTATGTTTTAACCATTTTGTACAAATTAAAAAATATTTAATTCAATATGAAAAAGATAAGATAAATTATAAAATATCTTAAAATATTCTCCTTCAAAAACATTCTTACAGATTTGGTAATAAATATTATTGATTTTAATTGACTAATATATTTATAATGATTTATATAATGATTTAATTTATTTAAATAATGTTATTTATATATTTATTTAAATTCTTTTCATTAACTAATATATTTATGATCAAGACAAATATATTATTTTATCATTAAACCAAAAAATATTACTTTTACATGAAATTATATTCATTTAAGATGGAAATAATCTTTTATAATAATTTAATAAAAACATTGAATACTTATCATAACTTAAATTATATATTAAAAAATTATAATGGTATTAAATATTTATTTTTAAACTTTTTTTTTAAAATAACAAAAACTATCTAATTAAGGAATATTATGATAACTTATGGAATAAACATTTAACATGAAAACTATTATTTATAATAATTTAATAAAAAAATTTAAATTGAACTTTAGACGGAAAAACTCGACTCATTTAGTCAACTAACCAATACCAATTGAGAGACCCCACTTACCCTAATATTTAATATTTGACATAAATGAAATTTATTTTTTTAATTATTATGAAGGTAAATTTTAATATGAATAGTACAGTAATCTCTTTAAAATGATTAAATTAATTTAAAATTTTCTTTTTGTTTTATTTTCTATAATATTTTTATAGTTTTTTTTTTAAATTAATAATATATACAAACAATTTTATTTATATTAATACACTATAAAATTATAAATAAATATTATTGTCAGAGATTAAATCCTAAACTAAAAATATATATTATTCTGTCATAAAAATATATCCTCATGATAAAAAATTATAAGAGCAATAGATTTATGAGAAAATTAAAAAAACAAGACAAAATTTTAAAGGGTAATTTGATAGCTTATGGTAATAAAATTTTAACATGAAAATAGTTTTTTAATATTTTAATAAAACGTTGAACACTTATTATTACTTAAATTATATAGTAAGAAAATATATTATAATAATATTAAATATTTAACATTAATAAAAATTATTTTCTAAACTTTGGATCAACATTTTATCCTAGCTCAATTAACAAATATAAGTTAAATTACCTCGTTCAACCTTATTAAATTATTAGGAACACAAATGTTAGTACTTAATATGAATAATACAACAATTATTTCTAAATGTGTAAATATAATTAAGTTTTTTAATAGTTTTATTTATTATAATAATTTTTTTTAAATTGTTATTAGATAAATATTAACAATTTTTTTACATTAATATATTATTAATATATTAATATACTATTAACACATAAAGTATAAATACAAATAAATATTATTGTCAAGGATTAAATTTATCAATATCATAGTACTATTTTAACTTATTTACCACATGCCAATTTATACCCTTTAATTCAACTATTACACTGACATTCTTCTAACTTTATTTATACAATTTTAATTCAATTTAGGGTCGTCTCAATCCTTAGGTCAATAAAGTGTTGACCTTAGGCTCTAAAATTTTGGACTCACAAAAACAATGCCTGACGCGAAGACTTACATCACTACTTGGAACATGGCTTGGACGTGGGAATATATCACGCTGGATATTTATCAAATATTACAATTCAATTAATAGTGTGTGTGTATTTCTAGTTTTGGTAAACAACACTCGTCTCTTAGTAGAAAGTTTACTGGTGAGATCGACCAGTGAATCTCATTACAATGCTTCAGTTTTTTAGTGTTTTTACAAAGTATGTTCAAAAGGGTTCGTTCGACTAAGGCGAAACGAATTTAAAAGCAATAAAGCAGGAATTGTAAAATAAAACAAAGACATTTTAAACTGTAAAAAAGATGACATAACATCAAAATAGTTGAAAATGGGTTGATTCAAACATACATCGCCCTTGCTTGACTTATTTTGCTCGTTCGCTTGGGTACTCTGAATGACTATCGTGTAGGAATGTAAAAGTTTGAACATTTTACACTATGCACTAAGTGCTTTATTTATAATACATGAAAATAACTATTTTTCACCAGGCTTTGCTTCTTTATGAGTCACGTGTCCCTTGTAACTTCCCTCCATGAACACATGTTCTCCATCCATGCTATCGAACCCTCGTTCTCCATTCCTGCTATCGAACCCACATTCTCCATTCACAATGTTTTGCTTTGCTAGTTATGTCCTATTTTGGACTTTTTAACACCCCTGGGCCCAATTCTTTCCTCATGAGGCCTCTTTTCTGGTCGACTGCGCCCACAAGCCCAAATTGGCCTTTTATGAAACCTTTTCCGGTCGACTGTTTCGGTGGTCGATTTCCTATAATTCGAAGTCTTCAAAGAACCTTTTTTTTATTTTGGTTGGATTTTAACCTTTTGTGAAAATCCTAGCGAACAAATTGCACCCCAAAATATCCTTTTCGACTGAAAGAACAGAAATGGACATCAGCGATTAGAGATCACACAACCACTTCCCTATTTTCAAGTTTCAACTTCCTAGGATAATCGTGGCCTCCAACTCACCAACTTCTTCAACTCAGTTGCCATCAGTTTGACATGTGTCGTTCGTGTAGCCAGAGAACAAGTTTTGCAGCCTGTGCCAACTCGACCAGAAAGCATTAACTCTAGTCCTAAAGGAGATTATTATATACCTTCTTCTTAATTGACTCTTTATCTTAGAAATCGTTTGTCTTTTTTATGATTCTGTTCTCACTTGCCTTTATTATTTCATCGATTGGAAGTTAAAACTAAAAAATTCCTTACTAAGATCGTCTTGAAATATCCTAAGACCAAAAGGAAACCAATTGTGGTCTCGACTGATAGTGAACCTTATGGGAGCGACCTCAACTCTCCTATCACCTAGGGTACTTCTGAGTATTCTCCTATTAGTGACGGATTGGAGGATGATACCAATAATGACAGCCTGGGGGAGGGGTATTGGAGATGATGGCTTAAAGGATCCTGAACATGCTACTGTTGTTGGTGTCACCACAGCTGCTAACCAAAATCCCTTCCAAATGGAAGAAGTGACTCTTCAGGCACCAACCCTTTTGGCACCATCTCGACCCCTCCCAACATGATTCCTATGACCAACACCATGTCACTCCAACAAGTTGCTTCTCTGAGGCAAACCAACCCCTTTGAGTATTTAAAGTTTTTGGTGAACGCCAGGAACCATTCAACTGACGAAGGCTCCAGTACTTCTACTGCATATGGAGGTATCTCTTCTCTTGGGACTCAAGAAGAAGTTCTTAATTGTATTAAAACCATGCTCTTTCATGTTGATTTGATCACCCATTTGGAGGCGTATCCCTCTGATGGTATTAAGATTAAAAAAATGCTGAAGAAAGTTGACGTTCAAGGTGCTTCTCCTTTAGTCCTAAAATTCTTGGCTGAAGCGTCTACCTTACCTGATCATCTTTTGGTCGACTTGGCTAAAAAGAAAGAGATCCAGGAAAGACACCTTCCAAAGGAGAAAGAGCACACTGTTGAATTGGCTTTCATGAATTCTTCCATGGCTGCTAGTGAAGAACTGAAGGAAACTCTTGACAAAGAAAGAGTAGACTTTAACACTAGGGCTACAAATATTTCCGAATGGAAATAGCAAATCGTAGTGTTAAAGCAAAAAATTGAAAGGCTGGAGAAACAAATTGATGAGGCAGAGACTTTACAAGTTGTTGGATTTCACGCAGTTAAACAGGCATTGGATAATGAAGCTCTAGTTGGGGTCGCTCATCTGGAGCGTGTTGGCGTGTTGGGGTCCCTCAAGAATAATGTGCCTTTTTAGACTTTCGATTTTACACATAATCTGAATATGTTCTTTCCATAATTCTTTGTAATGCTTAATTCACATTTCAGGCCCCTTGGTGGCCTCCTTATTATGCAATGAATTTTATCCTCTGTTTATCATAATTTCTTTTAACATAGGCCTATACCTCTTTAAGTGTTTTCCATTTACTCGTAGTATTTGACCTTCTGGTGTGAGCTCCTCAATCTCATAAGCATTTTTGGAAAAAACTTGCACTACTCGAAATGGTCCTTCCCAGTTTGGTGACCATTTTGCAAGCACTTTATCCCTCCTATCCATATGCAGGACCACTTTCCAGACCATATCTCCAAAGACGAACGCCTTTGAATTCACTCTTTTGTTATAGGCCT